ACCAAACATGCTTTTCAAACTTCACCACCCCCAAGAGTTCGACATATCCCCTAGGGAAGGGGACATTAATCCTCATCCGTCTTCCACTGCTCAGAGAAAGAGCTCTACTGAGTGACTACGACTGCACCGTGTATACAAGGATTGCAAATTCAGGGGCTGTTGAGGGCCAGACAGGTCACAGAAATGCGTAAAGAGGTCAGGGATAGGATGATAGTAATGGTGGGACTTGTAGTAAACTAGAAAACACATCACCCCTGCCCTTCTCCAAAGCATGCAAGTTCAAGTTCTAAAATTCAAATCCGATACCACTCAACCAAACATATTTGTGGGATCCATTTGGCCCAAAACCACCACGTTGAGATCCCTGGTGGTTCTTGTGACCTTGTGTGATCTTGATCCAGACAATTTCTCTCTGGGGCTCAGTCTGATTGTCTCTAGAAGGGGCTGATAGAGCCTGCAGAGCTGCTGAGAGAGAGAGAGGAATGCAGTCCCAGGTGTGGACGCTTGATAAAGAGCCGTGGCGCTGTCTGCAGCCACTGTCTTGGATGTGCCTTCTGCGACGCTAAGCCAGCTCTCCGTTTGGGCTGTGCTCCTGCACGTGACTTATTTAGTTCATCGTTTAGTTCAGGCAGCCCTTGCAGTGTTATGTTTTCTTTTCCCCAAATCTGAGTTCTTAAAGGGCCTTTACCTTAATGCTCGTCGGAGCCTTCCAAGCACATCTTGAACAGAAATGAACAGCTATTTTAACCCCACGGGCTTCTTACAAGTGTGTTTTAAAAGGCAAAGAGTGATGTAAAAGAATGGCAAAAGGTCATCGTGCCGCTCTTATTTCCTGGCCTGAGTTAATCCTTTCTGGCCGGTTGAGCACGGGGCTTTTACAGAGGCATCCCCTGGAACTGAAGTCCTCCAGAAAGTCCCACACCCATCAGAGGCAGAAGGAAGAAAGGAGCCTGGAACAGGCGGTGAGGGTGCAGAGGGAGGGCACCCGGACCTGTTCCACAGGGGCTCGCCCTCATACCCAGCACAGGGTTGGGGGCTCCAGCTGGTATGGGGAGGTAGCTGCCCCGCGTGGAAGGTTAAGACTAATGGGCCCCCAGCAAATACAGTCAGAACCAACTGAAGGAAGTCAGTGGAACAGGCCCTGCAGCCTGGGTTCAAAAATCCCGGCTCTTCCGCCACTTTTGACCTTGGCCTCCGCCAACCTCAGGCTTCTCTTGGCTGAAAGGTAGGCTACCTCCCTCCCGCCTTGGTTCAGTGAGCTGACACAGTGGAGCCTTGGACAGCTTACAAGCAGTGAATGGCACATCTGTTTTCTCTTCCGTCCTTCTTTCCTTCTGCCCTTGTTTTTCCTCTTTCCCCTTTCTGATCCCTTCCTGTGTGCCTCCTTTCCTCCTCCTGTTTTCCTCCTCATCACTCTGCTCCTTTACCCCAGCCTCCTCGTCTGTTTCTTTCCTCCTCTCCTTCCACTCCCTTTTCTCTCCTTTCCCCCTCCTTCCCACCCTCCTCTCTCTCCATCCCTCTCCGCTTTTTTAAATCCACCCAGGGGATGCCTCCAAGTTCCCGTATCTGATCCCAGGGTGCGATGTTCCTTGCCCTGCAGCAGGCATCTCTGCGGGCACCCACTGGCCCCAGCATGCGCTCCAGGGCCAGCCCAGGGGGTGGCGTCTGGGGCTTCCCTTACAGGAAGCAATCAAGAGGGTTTCCAGCATTAAACCACTCAGGAAGCAAGGCCAGTTTCTGCCCGAGAGCATGCCTCACTGGCCCCACAAGCAGAACCAGGCCTAAGGCATAGTGGTGTGCTGGAGCCTGCTCGCAGATGGCGCACACCCAATCCTGTGACCTCGTACTTTGCATGGGTCACGGTGGGAGTGTTTACACCACAGAAATCAGCAGGTGCTGCAAATTGAGTCTTCTGTTTTGTTTCCTAAGAGCCCGTTGTTAAAACTTACCAGCACACCACTGCTCTGTAGACCTGCCGCCTTCTCCGAAGCAAACGTTCCTGTGCTGAGGCCTTGTAAGAACAATGTCTGCTGCCATAGAGGGCAGAAGCCAGAAGAGCGCACGCGTATCTAGCACTGTTTAAGCTGCCTGCTGTCGGGGAAGCAGAGCAGGTGGAAGATCTGAGCCCTGTTCTTGCAGAGGTGACGGTGCAGCTGGGAAGCTAAGACAGAAGAATCTGTAATTAGTCAGGAGAGAAGCCACGTTGTATAGGGTGACCAGGCCTTCCTCCTCGCCCCCACTATGGTCCTGGCTCAGGCACTGACTCTCATCCTTCCACCAGCCCTGTTACAGCAACCTCCACCCATGCTTCCTCTCCTCTCTTCCTCCCCACACAGCTGCTGGGGGATCTTGCCAAGTCACCATCACATCAAATCTCCCCACCTTCCATGGCTCAGGTGGCAGCCCTGGTGACCACTCCATGCCCGCAGCAGAGAGGGATAGTTAAGAACATGGGCTTTGGAATCAAACTGCAGTGTCTGGGAGCTGAGAAGTTGTTTGACTGTCTGAACTTCGGCTTCCTCATCTGTACAGTGTGCAGTACAGAAAGGCAGTAAATACATTAAGCACTTCCTCAGCCTTCGGTATGATCATCATTCTCATTACAGAGTAAAATGTGCCCTCTTTTCCTGCATCAGAGTTCTTTACTACTACTGGCGGCTTCCTGGCCACGTTTCCCTAAATCACCCCAGATTCTAGCCCCCAAGCCAGCCTCCTCACTGTCTTCACATATGTTCTGTATTTTGGCTTTGTTCTGTCTGCCTGGAATGGACCAGGAGCAGTTAGGGTTGCGGTTAAGAGCAAGCAGTCCGGTCCTGCTCTTCTAGCTGTGATTATTTTAAAAATATCCCCACTTCTGCTCCATTTTCCACCAAACCCAATGCTACCCCTCCCAGTTGCCTGCCTGAACCCAGACCCCAGGGCAGGGCGCCACCTCTCCTTCTCTGTGTGCTGTGGAAGAACTTACACCGTGGATGTGGATTGTCCATGGCCCATCTCCCAGCTGTCCCAAGAGCTCAGTGGCAGCAGGACTCAGACTCCAACTTGCATCTTTGTCCCTCAGCACCCAGCATGAGGCCCGGCTCCCTGGAGGTGCGCAATAGATGCGGATTGGATTGAAAATTGCCTTGACAAAATGAGGTGCTCAGTTGGGCACTATAGATAATTAGGGGCTGGAACAGACATTAGTAAACCACTGATGGTGTGAGCGAGACAAGCAGGATTGGATCAGAGTGAGGTGGAGCTGGAAATCGGAGTCTGACTCTCCTGCTTGCGCACAGAAGAAAGCTGAGGCACAGAGAGGGGAAGGGACTGGCATAGGGTCACACAGCTAGTAAGTTCAGGGTGAGATTTCAAACCTGTGTCTACTGGACTTCAGGGTGTCAAGCCTTTCCTCCTCAGGTCAGCTCCTCGCGGCAGCTGCAAGACACAGGCCATGTCTGCAGTTAGAGGACAGCTGGGGTCTCCAAGAGGGCAGTGCTGCCCCTAGAGGCTGGCTGCCTCCTGGGGACTCTGATTAGAACCTCCAGCCCCACGGCTCAGCCAGAATCCCACGTGACCTCCCAGAGACTCCCTGGATACCTGTAGGGTTTGTCCAGCACAACCATAGGAGCCATTTTAGAGCCAGAACTCAGAGGCTTTTATGCTGGCAGCCTCTTTTGAGTTTCTTAAAAAGAACAGCAGGCCTTGTCCTTGTGGAGGTTTGTCCTGGAGGGAGGTGGCTGCTGGGGATAGGCCATACTTGTACACCCCAAATGGAGGGCTTGGGGGGTTCCACAGGTACCCCATTAGAGACAGCAGAGTGGTTAAGAGCTTGGACACAGGAGCCCGGCTGCCTGGGTCAAGGCTTGGAGCCCCTAGCTCCTAACTGGGAGACCTTTGGCAAGTCACTTTAACTTCTCTGTACCTCAGTTTACCCATCAATAAAATGGGGGCTAACAGCAATTTAATAGACAAAAAGCATTTAGAGTGGCCCCTGGCACATTAGTAAGTGTGTCCAGCTCACTTCCTCCCTGTGCTGAGCTCTTCTTTTTCTTTCACCCCTTGTTAATGAAAAGTTGAGGAATTTTTCTTTTCTGCAGGCGGCTACAGAAGCAGGAGAACCATACTCCTGGAATCTGTTTCACCATTGGATGGGTCTGTCATATTCCAGTAGTTGCAAAGTTGAATTTGTTCTCGCCTGGGTTGTCGGGGTGGGGATGCCTTCTGGCCTTCTTCCACATTGTGGTTTCAGAGGTGTCCTAGAAAACCTGACTTCTAGGCTCTCAGAGGCTGAGAGCAGAGGGGAAGGGCTAGAGCCTCCATATATTCATCTGTCCTAGGACAGTGAGGCTAGGCAAGCTCATCTCCATGCAGTCACATTTCTTTCCCTCTGGCATCCAGCAGGCATGCTTGGGCAGGTCAGGTCATGAGGCCCAATAGGTCTAATGGCTTCAGGGAATTTCACACAGGCCAGTGCCTGGGAGGCACTTCCTAGACAAGCAAATAGCACCAGACTATAAGTCAGAGGGCCTGGGTCAAGTCCTGTGTGACTTTGGGCAGGTCATTTGACCTTTCTGGGCCTTAGTGCCATCATCTGCAAAATGTGACAAACGATCATTTTAGCTTCAGTGCATTTAGCACTTCCTGAACTGAGCATGGTGCTAGAAAATTCAAATCCAGTCACCACAGAGTGGGAAGTGGTCACTATTGACCTCCTTTATTGACGAAGAAACAAAAACTCTTTTTTTTTTTTTTTGAGACGAAGTCTCGCTCTGTCGCCCAGGCTGGAGTGCAGTGGCGCAATCTCAGCTCACTGCAAGCTCCGCCTCCCAGGTTCACGCCATTCTCCTGCCTCAGCCTCCCGAGTAGCTGGGACTACAGGCGTCCGCCACCACGCCCGGCTAATTTTTTGTATTTTTTAGTAGAGACAGGGTTTCACCATGTTCGCCAGGATGGTCTCAATCTCCTGACCTCATGATCTACCCGCCTTGGCCTCCCAAAGTGCTAGGATTACAGGCGTGAGCCACCAGGCCTGGCCAAAACAAAAACTTTGAGAAAATAAGTAGCTTACTTGAAAGTCACAGTGGGATGTTGTAAAGAGTAGGCATGCAATAAATACTACCAACAAAGACACCTGCTTCTGCAAATTCCCTCTCAGGTACGTTGAGGCAATGGAGGGATTTATACCAAGGCATGAAACTGCTTTCCTTCGTCTCTTGAGTAAGAGTATGTGGCTGGCTGGGAGCTGGGTGGGAGTCTGTAATGTTCAGGTCACTCTCATGCTGTGTGACCTTGGGCCAACCACCAGTCCTCGGTGGGTTTTTTTCTTCATCTATAGAATGCCATGGTAGACCAGGTGCACTGGTTTGGCATGGAGCAAGTCTGGACCAGGAAGGAGGCCAGTTGTGTCTTGGCCCTAAGCACCACTGTGCATGGGGCTGCGGATCCAAGAATGGAGGCCTCCCATTTAGGCCCCAAGCTGTCCCAACCAGCTCATTTCTCCTGTAGCCTGCATCCCACCACAGGCCTGGCTGGCCTCTGAGGTCTTGTTAAAATGCTGGGCCTTGGAGACCCTCTCTGGTGGCTCCCTTTCCATCAGGGCACATTCTCCAGGGAGCTTTCCCTGATCTCCAGGACAGTGCGTGGCAAGCGCTGCCCACAGTACTGGCTGTCCTGCACAATTCCAACCTCCATCTAACCTTCTGTACCTGATCATCCAGTATTAATTGGTCTTCACATTTGTATAACATTTTTCAATTACAAAGCACTTTTGCGGCCATTCATCTCTTTGAGTGGCAGCCTAAGCTGCTATTTATTGACACTTCCTGTGTGCCAGGCCCTTGGCTGGCCTCTTTCCATGCATTATCATGCAATTCTCAGAGCAATTCTGTGAAATCCACATTTACAGATGAGAAAATCAGGACTCAAGCAAGCCGGATATCTAGCCCTATTGCACAGAGATTTGAACGAAGTCCCATGAAATAATCTGGGTCATCCCTAACTTAACAACTTCTGAAGCTGTCGTATGTGCCTAAATCATGGGACCTGGTTAAAAATCAGCTTCTCATTCCATAGGTCTTGAGTGGGTCCCAAGATTCTGCATTTCTGACAGGCTCTCAGGTGATGCTGATGCTGTCTCTTGAAGAACCGCATTTTGAGAAGCAAGGCCCTGAAATCACTGGGCAATTTCAGACCCCAGGCTGGCAAGGCTGTTTCCTTATCTGTCAGATGGGTGAAGTAGCCCTGGCTTACATAGATGGAATGACTCCTGGATGACATAGTGCCTGCAAAATGCCTGGCACACAATAGGCGCTCAATAAATGTTAGCTCTTCGATAGGAGCTGGCATGAGTCTGGGTACACAACAGATGCTCAATAAAGCCTTGTCCAATGGATTGAGCCTAGCATTTTTCCCAAAGGCAGAGAATAAACTGTATTATGTTTCCCCTTGGAATGAAGCCAAACTCAATATTAATTTCTTTCTTGAACCACGGAGTTTCAAAAAGAAATAAAGGCAAACTAGAGTGATTGCAGTCGAAGCGAGCCTCTGTAATTTCTGTAATTACAGAACGAGAGCAAAGCAAAGCAAGCACAGCCTCATGGAGGGAGTGGTGTGGGGTAGGGGGAGGGGAAGAACAGGTCCTACTTCTAGACCCACTGCTCCCCCTCCTTGCTTCCCTGGCTTTTCAGGGCTCCCCACTCACTCCATGGTGGGGCCATGGCCTGGGACAATGGCAGCCCTGAGACTCCAGCCCTGACCTCTTGGTCTCTGCCTAGGTCCCCACTCCACGCAGCCGCCTGTCCCTCTGATGCAGTGGGACAGAGGGAGATTGTCCAAGGCGGCTTCCACACACTCCCCTCCCCCTTGCCTGCCATCTGGTCCAGGGCTGGGCTGCTCACAGCCAATCATCCAGCAAGGCCCACGGCCCAAGGGCGCCACCTCCAGAATAGATTGTGGGTGCCAGTGCCACTTCCCCAACTTCTGCCGGTCCAGCGACCCCCATGCAAGCCGCTGTCATCTCTCTGGACAGGCAGCCTCTGATTATGTCTCCCTGCTTCCCCCTTGCCCCTATGCAGCCTCTTCTGGGCAGCCAGAGGGAGACTCTTCCCCCACCACTGCAACCCCCCACTTCCTCCCATCCCACTTAGAATGAAACCTGAATTCTTGCTGTGGCCTCTGACACGTGTGTGACCTGGCCCCTGCCCAACACCTCCTCCTGAATCCGTTTCCTCTCACACTGCTCACACTGGACTTCAGCCACTTTGGCCACCTTGGTGTCTTTCAAAGGTGCCAGGCTCGTTCCTGCCTCAGGGCTTTTGCACTTGCTGCTCCCTCTGTTTGAAATACTGTATCCCAGAAAGTCCCATTTCTGGCTCCTAATTCAGACTGAATGTTTTTTTCTCAGGCCAAATAAAACAAGCCCAAGGGCCAGTTTTGACCCATTTTGCCACTTCTGATGTAGGGCTTCCAAACTGTACATGTTTTCTTTCCCTAACAAAGCATCTTGTCATTCAGAGATTGGCAGAGGAATTCTTTGTGCTTGGTTTGGCCCCATTTTTATCAATGGCTTTAACACTTGGTCATAGAGCATACACTGAGGAGGGATGGGATATCCTGGGAACGTTTCTCCATCTTCCTGCCTGGAGTGTCTTTCACTAACTCCATCCTTCCCAGAGGCCCCATGAGCGAGTCATCTTCTGGTTTACTAATCTGATCCCATTATCAGCCCTGTCCCATCCCTGCAGCTAGTCCCTAAGTTCCTCAGCCCAGTGTCCAAGACCCTTCACATACAGACCTTCCTAGCTTCACACTTTGTACTTTAGTACACGTGTTTCCCTCCACTTGGAACACCTTTTCTCTCTTTTTAAACCTGATGAATACTTATTCAACCTTCAAAGCCCTGCTCAAGTGACCCCTTGTCTAGGATGCGTTCTCTGGCTGTATTAACGCGTTTCTTCTAGGCCTACCGTGTCTTGTTCTTACACCTCTTGCAGCACTATCACAGGGTATTATGATCAGCTATAGGCAGAAATATTTCTCCTTCTAGGCCATGACCTTGACAAGGGCAAGTGTCTTGTCTTACTAAATTCTCACACCCTGAGTATCCACCCCAGCTCCACGCACATAGGAGGCCTCACTAAGTATTTACAGAAATGAATCTTTCTGCTGGAACCTGTTAGTTCACTGATTCAGATTCTGGCAACCAGGGTGTAGTTCAGAATATAAAATGCTTGAAGAGATGGCTCCATTGTCGTTTCAGCACACAGCATGTGCTCAGTACATACTTGCAGAATGAATGTGTTAGTGAGCGAGTACAGAGGACCTGACCTGTCGTCACTGGTGGTCTCACATTAGTAGTGCCCTGTGAACGTGGCTTTGGTGGAATTAAGTTAATCATGGTATAGTATGCACCTGAAGGAACGTGGAGCCGGATTCTGGGTCTCAGAATGTTGTTACCTGATGAAGAAGAACGGGAAGACGCTGGAAGAAGGCTTTGGAAAAATGCCCAGATCATGAGAAGGTGAGAGGTGTTTCTTCTGCCTGCTCCACCAGCCGGTAGAGGAGGCTGATCACAGACTGGCACTCAGGACAAGGTGGAAGAAACATGTGGTCTTGCCACTACAGAATCACAGAGCTGTCCTCCAACATGATCCCAGAGAGCCACAAAATACAGGGGTGTGTCTCAGGAAAGGAAAAGTAACAACTTGCATAAAGGTTGGTTTTGCTTCAGAGAAATGTTCTAGAAAGACAGCCAAGTTACCCTGCCGTGAACTCACACACACCTGTGCTTTCTGCATGTTATTTTTCATAGGAGAGGGAAGTGCCAGGAATTAAAATTGCCAAAGCACTGTTCCCCAGGTGTGCGGGTGAGGCATGCTTCTTGGGACCACTCCATTTAAGTGTTGGGTCCCAGGCGCGTTCACTAGCAGGAGGCTCTTTATCATTTTCCTCCCATGGACTAGATGTTTGGGATTTTTTTTTACTACCAGACTTTATTACAGAATAATTATTTTTGTATTAACAAACACATGTACCACTCCCAGCTTCTGACTGGCCCAAGGTGCTGAGCTAGACTTCTTTGCTTTGGTACAAAGAGAGCCCAATGCCAAGAGACTTGACATTTCTGTTAGCTGGTATTCCCCAGGGGGACTAAAAGGATGATTTCCATTGGAGTTTTTAAAATGCTGAAGACACTGAAAGACCTGAATAGTAAACCCTTAATAAACGTTAGTCGGCATTATTATTGTTGTTGTTGTAGCCTTCTGGGAAGTTGTGAATGCCAGATTAAGAACAATGGATCCATACTCGGTGGCAATTGCAGTGATAACAATGACTGAGATTTCCTAAGCCCTAACTATGTGCCAGGCATGGTTGTACACGCTTAACACACATGATCTCATTTAATCATCACCATAACCCTCTGAAGGAGGTATTATTATCCTCCCATGTTACAGATGAGGGTCAGAGAGGTGAAGTAACTCACCCAGCATTAGCAGGTGTTGGAGGGAGCCGAGGTCTGTCTGACTTAGCACTAGGGTGGCTTTGCCGCTGTGTAAGTCAAAGAGCCTTCTCAGTCCTAAATCCTCAAAGAAGTTTGAGTTGTATCAATTCATGGCTTTACTTCGTTTATCTTCATATGTGCCACATCTTCTAAAAGGAAAACTCCAAATATAGTCATGTGGCTCTTCCTAGGGAAGTTATAGGCATTTAGCTGAATCTGAATACATATCCCCATATTCCAGAAATTGGAAATCACATGTATGTCTTCTTTATGGTGGGGTCTTCAGAGCAGCCACCATCTCTGATTGCTCAGGGCTTGGCATGAGGAGGTGCTCAATATAGTCATGGAGAAGAACTCATGGACTGAACATCCTGGTGAACCAGAGGGATGGTGCAGAGATTTAAGATTGCAACAGGAACCCCCAAGCCAATGTAAGCAAAACATCTGTTTCATGACTATGGGAATATTTTGTAAAATCCAAGTACCAGCCTGAAGAAAGCCTGGAACTGCAAACCAGGAGCTTCAAGACACTCTATCTTTTGATCTCTAGTTCTCTCCTTCCTCAGCAGACCAACTCTCACTCTGAGTACAAGATGGGCAGAGGATGACTGCTCCAGAGTTCCCAAGTCACTGGCAAAACTGCCCCTCTTCCTGGGTCCCCTGCCAAATTTCCAGGGAAGGAATTTGATTGGCTAGCCTGGGTCAAGTGGTCAGTCTTGATCCAAGGTGATTGGATCATTTTGAACAAATATGACAGCTGGAGACCACAAGGGTAGATCATGGGACAGTCAAGGCCATCATTGTTAGGACAGTTAATGGCTGAGGCTGCTCTCTCCTGCATATCCCAAGACTCCCTGGTAGACCACAGAATCGGCCGCCTCCTACTTCCTGCCATTCTCGAGGAGGGGAGGCAGGCACCCTACTGAGTCCAGAGCTCTCTCTAACATTGCCATGCCCAGGCCAGGATCTAGATGGGCATCCAAGACCAGCCTTGTGCCGTGAAGGAGCTCAAAGTGAGCAGGCCATCCCTGAGAACGAGGAGCAGGGGTGGCAGGAAAGTTTGGATGATCTGAAGATGGCCTGGTTCTCCGTGAACTCTGGGAGGAGAAGATGGTGTTTGGTAATGGGGACTGCATGTGAAGGGCTGGAGGGCCAGTCCACAGCAGACTGGGCCCTCACTGGGCAAAGCTGCAGGGTGGAGGTCACGGGGGGAGGGCCAGGGTCACACTGCACCTTGCTTTGGCGCAGCTCCCACCTCTGAGGGTCCGCAGACTGGTGCTTCACATGTTCTGGTTGTTCCGAGGGTTCCACAAGTTTATTTTGTGTTATATTATTAATTTAAATCACTTTTGTAGAACATTATAGAAATTTAAAAAAGCACAAAGAAGAAAACAAAAGTCACTCATAAACTAAGCATTGTAGTCATCTTTGGATATATCCTTTTTTAAAATAAATTTGGGGGGAGGGGGCAAAAATTGGATAATTCGAAATAAACTCTCTGGAAACCTGCCTTTCTCACCCCAAAACAAGGTGCTCTTTCTCGTGTTCTTATGTGGCCTTTTTGTAACATTTCCACGAGTTTGGATGGAGGATGGAGAAAAGTCTCAGCAGCCCCTCTGTTGGTTTCTCTTCTCCTCTGATAAAATTATGGAATGTCTTCTCCACGCTGCCCTCATCCCACCCCCACAGCTGTCCCGAGGGCAGCAGGCCCCACTCCTGCATGTTCCCAGCACCCCGAGGGCCAGTGCCATGCTGCATGGACTCGCTGCGGCCACCCTGGCTGGGGATGCTCTGCGGGACACACGCACAGCCCGGACGACCTGGCAGGCTTCCTGCACCCCCGCTGCCCTCTGTAGGAGCTGCCTGCCTGCCCCACCGCTGCTTCGCCATCCCTCCTCTCCTTCCCTTCTCTGTTTTGCAGGCTCTCACCCAGAGTGGCAGAAGGAGCCCTTCTGGAGCTGACCTACCCCCGACGACCATCAGGTAACATCAACAGCCACAGTAACAACATCCATGAGTGGAATTCTCCCTCTTAACCAGGCTGACGAAAAGCACTCTTGCAGCGATTACGGCTGAGTTTTGATGCAACTCTACAAGCCAGAGGGGATTGTCCCCATTTTATACTTGAGGAAACTGAGCACAAACAAGAGCAGTACTTAATAGTATTGAGTAGTAGTACTGAGCAGTAGTACTCAGCTGGTAGAAGGCAGACTGGAGATTTGAACTCAGGACTGGTCTCAGCCCAGTTTCCTCCACTGTACTGTACCCCATGCTGCCCCTGGAAATAAAAAGGTAAGAAGGCTTCAGGGTGTCAGTAGAATATCTTGCGGTGACTGAAGGCTGAAAGAGGTCCTCTAAACCAGTGGTCCTTAGCTGAGGGCCAGGGCTGGGCTGCCAGTATAAGAATCTCCTTTAGCAGAGTTTGTTAAAAGTATAGACTCAGGACTTCCTGCAACCCAGTGAGAGATGTACCAGTGTCATCCTCATTATAAAAGATAGGGGCACACAGAGGTTGAGTGTACTTAAAGTCATACAGCTCAAAAGTGGTAAAGTGGACTGTGATCAGAGGTTGTAACTCCTAGGCTCTGTTGTCTTCACTGGGACCCTCCATAGTGGGGCCACCTTTCTCCCCATTCAACCACAGGTTGAACTTCTTTCTTGCTCGCCCTGGCCATGGCTAGTATGGCTGCAGAGTGGGACAAGGCTCCCAATTGCATCCTTGAAGGCAAAGTTAAAGATTTTATGATTAAATACTTAATATTTCATGTTGGAAGTTTGGTGGCCTCAGATTTCTCCTCTGAGCAGGACATACAACAGAGGGTTGGACACAGATGGCCGGAGTTGAAGCCAGGCCAGGAAATATCGCTGTGTCTTTGGAAACAAAAGTCACCTTCCTTCCTCCAGGAGCGAGGGTGGGCGAGAGGAAGAGCTTATAGAGAGCCTTTTCAAGCCCCTAGTTTGTTCATGGGTTATTTTGTTTTTGTCATTTTAGGGTGAGGCAACTCCAAGGTCATACTCTCTTTCTGTGCCTGTCACCCTACCCCTGTCCTCCTAGGGTGCCCTTGAGCCGCAAAACTGCTGTCCACGTGGACCGGGGCTGACATCGCACGTCCATCTGCCAGGACCCCTGCGTCCAAATTCCGAGACATGGCGACCAACGGCAGCAAGGTGGCTGATGGGCAGATCTCCACCGAGGTCAGCGAGGCCCCTGTGGCCAATGACAAGCCCAAAACCTTGGTGGTCAAGGTGCAGAAGAAGGCAGCGGACCTCCCCGACCGGGACACGTGGAAGGGCCGCTTCGACTTCCTCATGTCCTGTGTGGGCTATGCCATCGGCCTGGGCAACGTCTGGAGGTTCCCCTATCTCTGCGGGAAAAATGGTGGGGGTAGGTTGTGGCCTGGAGACCTCCTGGCTGGGTCTGGACCCTGCAAAAAGGATCCTGCTTAGGCATTTTTCTGGGGCAACTGTAGGAGAAAAGCTCCCCTAAAGACTCCAGAGGGAGCACTAGGCCCCATTTCTTGTTTCTTATCCCTTTATCAAAAGATTCCCGAAGGACGATTGTCCTCTGTTAATGATACCAAGAAGTTCATCTACTCACCTGCAAAAAATGGGATGTATTTCACGTAAGGCTGTCCTTGGGCCTGCAGTTGGCTGTGGGTCCTACTTTTGAGGCGGGTATAGAGAAATCCTGGATGGGGACCCAGAACCATGGCAATCCCTGTACCAGGGCAGGTCTTGAAAGTCTTGGGGCCACGAGCGCTGTCTTCTTTCCCCTGCAGGAGCCTTCCTGATCCCCTACTTCCTGACGCTCATCTTTGCGGGGGTCCCACTCTTCCTGTTGGAGTGCTCCCTGGGCCAGTACACCTCCATCGGGGGGCTGGGGGTATGGAAGCTGGCTCCTATGTTCAAGGGTAAGTCTGCAGAGCGGCGCCCTGGGTGGTGGTGCCCCTGCCCACACACACCCCTGCCCCTCTGGAGAGAGGGAGCTGTCTACCCAGACCAGGGTTGACATCACATATCCGTCCATCAGGTGCATGTCTGAGCAGAATGAGGGCTGTTGCAAGGGGCCAGGTGGCAGATGACAGTGCTGGTCAGAAACTAGGGGGGTGGAGGTGGAGAAGCCCAATCCAGAATCTCCCGCACATCAGCCTGTTCTGTCCTGTTAGCCCATTCATTTCCCCTGCGAGAGCTGGGTGTGACTTGCTTTGCCTCATGCTCAGTGCCTGACAGGCACCCAGGTAGATACATGGTGAGTCATGCTTACTGACTGAGGGCCTGGGCCCCACCTCGTCTGGCAAGCTGAGACCCCAGCCCTGCCTGCCACCAGTCTGCACTGGGCCCCAGACATGAGTCCTGGCCCCTTGGCTTGCCAGATGTACATGACCTTCAGCAAGTCACTGCCTCTCTCTTAACCTCAGTGTCCTCAGTAATGCCTCTCTCTGAGATCGATAAGATTGTAGAGGTCATGGAACATGCCAGGACAGTTCATGTTAAGTCTGTATTAAATGGATGTGTATCTGTGTTCTGCTCCCAGGCGTGGGCCTTGCGGCTGCTGTGCTATCATTCTGGCTGAATATCTACTACATCGTCATCATCTCCTGGGCCATCTACTACCTGTACAATTCCTTCACCACGGTGAGTGGTCCCTTTGGCCACCCCCTCCAGCAGAAGCCACACCCAGAGCCCACCCTCCGCCTGCCGTGGCCACCACTCTGCTGACAAAGTCATTCCTCCAGGAGTGGGGAACTTGGTTTGTCTTTTGTGGGCCTTGGTCTCCCCACAACAGCCATAGCCTCACGAATTTAGCATATCCTGTGAGCCAGACACTCCTTGTAGGCTCACATCCAATCCTCATGACACTCCTCTAAAGTGCGTATTGTTAGTCCATTTTATATGGACACAGACAGCCTGGGTTCAAATCCTGACTCTACTATATACCAGCTGTGCAACTTCAGAAAAGAGACTTAACCTCTCTGAGTCTCAGTGCCCTCATTTACAAAATGGAAATAAAATTAGAATCTGCCCTAGTTCCTCAAAAAGTTAAACATAGAATTACCATATGATCCAGCAATTCTGCTTCTGAGTAGATACCTAAAGAATGAAAAGTAGGCTCTCAAAGAGATATTTGTACACTTCTGTTCACAGCAGCACTATTTACAGTAGCCAAAAGGTGGAAGCAAGCCAAGTGTTCATTGATAAATGAATTGGTAAGCAAAATGTGGTCTATACATACAATGGAATGTAATTCAGCCTTTAAAAGGAAGGAAATTCTGGCACGTGCTTCAACATGGACGAACCTTGAGGATATTATGTCAAGTGAAATAAACCAGTCACAAAAATACAATCCTGTATGATCTTGCTTATATGGGTTTCCTAGAGTAGTCAAATTTATAGACACAGAAAGTAGAATGATGGTTGCCAGGGGTTGTGAGTAGGGGGATGAGGAGCTGTTGTTTAGTGGGTGGAGTTGCAGTTTTGCAAAATGAAAAAAGTTCCGGAGCTGGATGCTGACAATGTTAGGCAACACATTTCTCACAATGTATTCCCATTGTTAAGTGACACATGACTATATTTGCAGAGGTGTGGCAGGGCTAAGGGAGCTACATTATGGGTATACTTAATGCTTCTAAACTGTACACTCACCAACAGTTAAGATGGTAAATGTTATGTATAATTTTATCACAATTAAAAAATGAAAGAAAACAAAAAGTGAAACCCACCTCATAGGGTTCTCGTGAGGATTAAGGAGCAGATATGTGTAAGGAACTTAGAACTGCGCCTGGCAGAGGACAAGCTCTGTAAGTGTTTGCTGGTGTCATCGCAGTGAGAGTTAGATGGGCAAGATCTCTTGCCCAAGGTCACATGGTGGGGAAGTAGCCCCGGCTGCAGCTTGGAAGGCTCTTTTCATAGTGAACGGGTTGAGGTTCAAATCTCAGCCCTGGCACTTAGTAGCTGTGTATTCTCAAGCAAGTCACTGTCCCTCTCTGATCTGTCAAATGGGGATCATAATGCTACTTACCTCCCAGAGCTGCTGGGAAAAGGAGGTGTGAGGAGGCTTGGGGACCATGAGGGTGGGCAGGGTGCACTGGGACCACTCATGCCAGCCCCTGGGAGCCCAGCGGGATGTGTCCTCATGACTGTGTCCTTGCAGACACTGCCGTGGAAACAGTGTGACAACCCCTGGAACACGGACCGCTGCTTCTCCAACTACAGCATGGTCAACACCACCAACATGACCAGCGCTGTGGTAGAGTTCTGGGAGTGAGTATGGGGCCGCCAGGGGATGGCAGGGACGGGGAATGTCAGCCAGGGGCTACGGTCATGTGTCACATGACATCTTGGTCATCAGCGGACCACATATACAATGATGGTCCCATAAGATTATAATACCATATTTTACTTTACCTTTTCTACATCTAGACATGTCTAGTACAGAAATGCATTGTGTTACAGTTGCCTACAATATTCAGTACAGTCATATGCTGTATAGCTTTGTGGCCTAGCAGCAATAGGCCACACCATATGGTGTAGGAGTATAGCAGGCTACACCATCTAGATTTGTGTAAGTACACGCTATGATATGCAGACAACAACAAAATTGCCTAACAACACATTTCTCAGAACATATCCCCGTTGTTAAGTGACACATAACTATACTTGCAGAGTTGTGGCAGGGCAAGGGCTAAGGCAGCCACAAGGGATGCCGAAAGCCTTTTCTCCCCAGAAAGAGTTGGACCATAGATGGAGCCATAAGACACACAGACTCTGACCTTTGATAGCGAAATCCAGCTACCCACAAAGCCACGGTCTAGCAGGGACAATACGTTCCCCAACATCTCTGCCTCTAATCTCCTGCCAGCGCCTCCCGGTGATCGAACTCAGCTAGAAGCCAGAGGGCAGGGGACCAGATAATGTAGCCATAGTAGTCAGCATCCTGGGGCCTGGCACAGAGTGGTCAAGGGGGAGAGTGGATCAAAGAGGCAAATGGAGGGGAATAACCAGCATAGCCAATTAGAATCACATGGAGAGGTCGACCTTATCCTGATTCATCCTGAAAACCGGCCCGATCTACTTACGAACCTAGAGTCACTCGGAATAAACACGCACACACACTCCGGCCATAGTGAAGGCCATGCTGATTGTATCTTCAGGGGAGTACCTTGTAGAGATGTGTGTTGGGGGACACTGATGTGACACAGTGAGGTGCTGGGGCCCAAATCTCTCTGGCATGAAGGAAGCATCCATGCTGGACAGCTCTGAAGGGTCCAGGAGCAGTCTAGAAGGTCCCAGAGTACCTTGGATAAGCTCCCAGGAGGAACTGTTCTCAGGCAGTGTCAGAATCAGTGTTGCCTGATCTCTTTATGGTGCAATGTCCGTGGTTACACTGTTTCCTTACAAATAAAAATCAAATTCTGCTCCCGTGGGTTCTGCTTTCCGGCAGCTCCCACATGCCGCTCTTAGGCACGTTTGAAGTTTTCATTCAACCATTTATTCAGTAAACACTTCTTGAGCTCCTACTGTGTGCCAACTGATGACAGGCACAGACGTGCAGACAGGCAATGGCACCACCAGGTGGCCAATGCAGAGAGGACGGAAGCACAGGCGGCTGGGCTGCGGGGACCTCAGGGAGGCCCCTCGACCAGCCCAGGTGGGGAGTGGCATCTAGAAGAGAAAACTGCAGGGCAGGCAGGTGCTGGAGAGGAACAGTGAAGGCTGGGAGGCAGATGAGGTCAGGCTAGGCACCGACAAGCAGGCTGCAGTGAGTGCTGAGAGGAGAGAGAGATGCAAGGGCCTTGAAAGGCTGGCCAGGGAGTTTGGGCTTCATTCTGAGAACAAGCGGGTGCTATTCATTGCAGTAAGCAGAGGAGTGACATGATCAGACTTGCAATTTAGAAAGTTCTCTGGGGCTGGAGAGGGGACAGAGGAACACTGAAGGCAGCGTCCCACTAGGAGGCCACCGGGCCATCCAGATGAGCAGTAGTGGTGGCTGACTAAGGCCCTGGGAGGTCCTGTTCTCTTTGATCTCTTGACCAAACAGCACTTTCTACCGATCAGTATAGTGGGCCTCGCAGTCCCCAGCTACCTCTTGAATCATGGTGATGACGGTGTCAGCACAGTTCCAGGGCGGGCATATCGTCTGTGGCCATGCCCTGGGCACCCCTTGATCACTCCAGCTCCCACCAGCTCTGTGTGACTTTCTCCTCCCTCCACTGTTTGACTAGGCGCAACATGCATCAGATGACAGACGGGCTGGATAAGCCAGGTCAGATCCGCTGGCCACTGGCCATCACGCTGGCCATCGCCTGGATCCTTGTGTATTTCTGTATCTGGAAGGGTGTCGGCTGGACTGGAAAGGTAAGGGATATATGTGCACAGTGGGGACAGGAGGGCACTGGATAGAGGAACAGGTCTACAAAGGAAGCTCTGCCCACAACTCCCAGGAGTCCCATCTAACCCCGAGTTAAGCAGGTCCGTTCATCACTCGGTGTGTCAGTTTCTTTTACTGTAAAATGGGAATAATAACACTACCTTACATTCTAGGGTGGTTATGAGGATGAAAGGAAATAGTGCGAGTCAGGCATGCAGCACAGTGGGAAGCTCACAGCGAGTTCCATAGGATTCCACTGGGCCCAACAGAGTCAACTCAAAAGAGAGGACAAATGTTGCTCCTGGACTGTTGAACAAACTTTCCCAGAGCATCTGCTCTGCACCAAGCCTTGTGCTAGGTGCAGAAGCTCCAGAGATGACAGCTTCACATCCTGACCCTTGAGAAACAACAGAGATGAATAGGTTAATGGTTAAAGACTCAGGCTCTGTGTTAAGCAGTCCATGATTTCAGATCTCAACCTCACCATTTACTAGCTGTGAGCTCAGGCAAGTCATTTTGCCTCACAGATAAGTATAATCATGAGCCCCGTTTTACAGAGAAGGAAACTGAGTTCCTTCTCGGCTCATGATTATACTTATTTGTTGGTTTATTATGATAATCAGATGAGATGGTGATTTTGTCAAGCACTCAGCACCTAGCAATGGGGGTTGTTATTGCTCTTGTTTTTATTATCAGCAAGTGCAGAGCAAACGCCAAGCTGGGATGTCCAGCCCAGGGACACCCGGGAGGTGGAAAACTGGCCTTACTCCACCTCTTTTCCCTTTCAAGCCCTACCCCAGGAGCTTGGGGACAGAATATAGCAGAGTCTTTCACTGGTCTTGACCTGAAGGGAACCCAGAGGGCAAGTGTGTTGTCTCAGATCTTATGGCAAGTCAAGGGCAGAGAAGAGATTTGTACTGAATAAGCTGGGAGGCGGGAAGGTCAGAACTATCCAAGAAGTGGATGCAAGGTTCTAGAAGCAGTAGCAGAAATGAACCAAGCAGAACCTTAACAAATTCCACACTTGGCAGAGCTGATGAAAAGCGGCCCTAGTTCCATCTGGTGGGAACTTCTGGACCCACTGGGTTCTCAAATCCAAGGCTGGTGTAAAAATCTCTCTGATCCATTCCTAGGATTAAGGATGCCAGAGGAGGGCACAAGTGTCTCCCAGTCTAACTTTCGGGGCAGAAAAGTATAGGGATTATGGGCTTTGGAAGGGTTTGAATCTCAGTCCCTGAGCTTCTAGCTGTGTGCACTTGAGCAAGCCATTCACCCCTCTGAGCCTCAGTCTCCTCATCTGTTCAATGGTCACAACAACAGTACCTTACAGGGTTGTCACAAAGACCGAGGGAGATGAGTAGAATGCTTAGCATATGCCTTACACATAGTATTAATTATAATCATTTTGGAGTGGTAATTAGAGTTCCTGCTACATTAAGAGACTGGCCACTTCTTGGCGACAGAGAGTAGGGCCCCCTCACTGCATATATTGAGGATGTCAACCAATCCATCCACAAGCATTTATTGAATACCTACTATGTGCCTGGCTTCACACTGAACACAGAAGGCAGGGGAAGTATGAGACCGAGGCGACATATAATAAGCCTGCAGTATGTCCTCATGTGACTGACCTTTCTGAGCAGTAGGTGTGACTGTGCCTGTTTCCAGACAAGAGAAAGTGAAGCTAAGAGAAAATACGACATTGACCCTAAGTTACACAACTTGTGGGTGACACAGATGTGTTTGAATTCCCTTTTCCTAGCTCCAAGTACAATGGGTTTTCTCTTGGATTGTGGACTGCCCTCCTTAATCCTGCAGAATCTCAGGGTCAAGTCATGGAGGTGAAGCTAAGCTGGTGAATTGTCCATGCTGACCGGGAAACAGGCTCACATTAGACTCTCAGATACAAAGGTCATCGAACTTGAACATTGCTCTTCCACACTAGTGAGCAAAGAAATGCAATTTTAGACAATGATGATCAATTTGACAAAAAATAATTGTTTAAATGATGATACCCAGTGCTCGTCTTGTGACAGGAAGACACTCTCTGTAATACCAGGTGAAGTTCCATTTCTTGAAGGCAACAAGGTAATATGGATCTAAAGCCTGTGATGAATTTATTCCTTTTAACTCAGTAATTCCACCTCTAGAAATTTTTCCCAAGAGTGGTATAATAATTTTGTAGCTGAAGATACAGGGGTATTTAATGTGGTATTATTTAGAGTCACATAGAATTGGAGGTAACCTAAACGCATAACAGTGGGGAAACTTAAAAAGAGAATGGTAAGACCTTGTGAGGGACTGTTTTGTGCAATTAAAATGTCAAATTGTTCATGAGGCAATAAAACAATGTTTAGTAAACAAAATGAGAAACAAACCTGTATGTATTGTGTTTTGTTTTTTAATTCTAAACATATTACATGGAAAGGCAGGTACCTAATTTGAACCTCATTTTGTAAGAAAATGTAATTACATCTGCAAAGGAGAGTTTCAGAAGAGCATTAAAGTAGGAACATCCATGCACTTATGTGTTTGCCAGACAATTATTGAGTGTCTACTATACAGGTATGGGGATGTGAACAACGCAAGCCTTGCTCCCCCACATAACTTACATTCTAGGTGCTGGTGAAGGGAACTTTCATTTTATGTGTGTGTGTGCATATGTAATTTAAAAGTTTTCCTGTCACCACATGCATTACTTGGATAATTTAGAAGTCAAAAAATAGGACGAAACAGGGGAAGGGAAAAACCAAATGTGAGCTGGTTGGCTCAGACTCCAAGGAGGAGCTTCAGAAAAGTGGCCAAGGAGAGCAAGGATCTGGGAAGGCTTCCTGGAGGTGGAAGAACTGGAATCAAGCCCAGAGCCACAACAGATATGGATGTAGGGGAAATGGGGGAGGAGGAAGCAAGGGTGTACAGGAGGAGGCGTAACCTGTCACCCACTTTCCTCCCAGGTGGTCTACTTCTCAGCCACGTACCCCTACATCATGCTGATCATCCTGTTCTTCCGCGGAGTGACGCTGCCCGGAGCCAAGGAGGGCATCCTCTTCTACATCACACCCAACTTCCGCAAGCTGTCCGACTCTGAGGTGAGTGCTCCTCCCGGCCTGGATTCTGAGCCACCACTTAGCAGCTTTGAGACAAGCTTTTACATCTTTCTGACCCTCACTGTAGACCGGGTTTGTTGCCAGGGAGAGCCGGTGGGCATATGGAAAAGGCCCTGGTGAGCCATGGCTATGGTAATTACTGTTGACGGTCTTTGATAATTCTGCCTACAGGTGTGGCTGGATGCGGCGACCCAGATCTTCTTCTCATATGGGCTGGGCCTGGGGTCCCTGATCGCTCTTGGGAGCTACAACTCTTTCCACAACAACGTCTACAGGTTGGAGAGGACAGCTGTGGGAGCCCCTTCATTCCTGGCCGAGCCCCTCGAGTCCGCACCCCACACTCACGTGTTAGGGCCCTCTTTGGCCACTTTGCACTCTCAGCTTAACCTCTCCCTGAGCCAGTCCTTTGTGTCACTCCTTCTGGAGACACAGACTTTCCTGTTGTCCCCTTTTCCTGACCCCGATCCTCTGGCTCTGCCCTCCCCTAGCTTGCTCTTAGGGCCTGTGCTTCTGGGGCCCAAAGTGTAGCCCCGTTCCCAGCTCCCTCCTCTGGGCCACCCCTTCATAACCACAGCCAGCAGCTACACTGTCTGCCAGTCCCACCCTCCTGACCCCACCCCTCCCTCTCTCCAGGGACTCCATCATCGTCTGCTGCATCAATTCGTGCACCAGCATGTTCGCAGGATTCGTCATCTTCTCCATCGTGGGCTTCATGGCCCATGTCACCAAGAGGTCCATTGCGGACGTGGCGGCCTCAGGTCAGTGCAACACTGTGTGGGGCCGGGCTCCTGGCGTGGGGGCACTAACCACGCTGGCCTTTGCCATCATCACCATTAACACCACTACTGTGGCTCACTGGCCTTGAGTACTCCCTATGTGCCAGGCAATGCACTGAGCATTTTACATGGACTGTACCTGTGATTCTTCTCAACACTTTGCGATACATGCTACTGTTAGCCCATTTCATAGATGAGAAACTGAGACTCACCTCCTAAGGGCATGGAGCTGGAAAGTGGCAGATCTGGAGTTGGAGCCCAGGTCTGGCTGACTCCCAAGCCTAGGCTCTTAGTCTCTTGGCTATACTGGCACATCCAGCACAAACCTGGACATTTTGGGGAGAAGATCCACTCTTGCCTTGGGGGTATGAACTTTGGCTCAATTCAGATATGTTCATCACCATACTACAAAGACCCCCAAATCCATGCTTTTGTCTCAGCTCCAAAAATGTTCTCACCAAGTGGGCCATGCCAAGTCTGCTCACCACACAGTCATCAATGCCACAGAGCCCAAGGAAAACCCCAGACAGCCCTTCTCTGCACAGCCAGGCAAGCAGCCAATGGGAGGAACTGGCTGCGTGCAGGGCAGAGGCCCCTGAGGCTCATGGAGGCCACACAACTGGTCCCTTGAAGAAGTGGGCTGGTCCCGTGAAAGGAGCATTCTCTGCTCTGGTTCTAATCTCCCCTTCAAGGGCAACCGCCATCTCATTTCTCTGCAACTCCCCAGCCATTCCACCACCCCCATCCAGAGCCAGACCCAGGGAGGTTACAATCTCTTTCCTTCTCATTCCAAGATTTCCTGATCTCTTAGACACCTGCACCAAATACTCAAACGCAACACATGACAAACAAGGCTCCAAAGCCTTCTCTTCCGCTATACTCCCCATCACAGAAGGGTCTCACCATCCAGTGCCCAGGGTGGAGACCTCAGCATCATCCTGGACTCTTCCCTCACCCTCACCCTGCAAGCCAGCCGATATCAGGACCTGCCCCTCCGCCCCCCACATCTCTATCTGGTTGCCTCTCTGCACCTGCACTATCCCCACCGCTGGCCAGGCCATGCTGTCCCCCTTCCAGATGATGGCCACAGCTCCTCACTGGTCCTCTTGTCTCTGAGCACAATTACTATGGCCCCTCATCCCCTACCCTCTTTCTGCATCTGGAAAAAGGGGCTGAAAACACTCACTTGAAAGGTTACTCTGAAGATGAAATGAAATAAGGCTTAGAAAATGGGCAATGTGCTAGAAAGGCTGTAGGTGCTGAGTACCTTTTATTTTTCTTGTCTTTTGCCCTTCTCTGTTCAGGCCCTGGGCTGGCGTTCCTGGCATACCCAGAGGCGGTGACCCAGCTGCCTATCTCCCCACTCTGGGCCATCCTCTTCTTCTCCATGCTGCTGATGCTGGGCATTGACAGCCAGGTGAGGGCGCCCTCTGCAACCCAGGAGCTTCTCCACCCCCAGACTCCTCAGTCCCCGAGTAAGCAGGGAGAGGAAGCCACTCTTAGGCTGCCAAGAAGATGACCAGAAATTCCAGGTCCCTAGAATGTTCCACTGCATGAAACTTCAGGGAACAGCTCAGCCACCTTCTCCGTTTTCCAGAAGGGGAAACTGATGCCCAGAGGGAAGGGACTCTCCTGAGGTCACAAAGTGAGTCACAGGCAGAATCAGGCTGAACCCTGGGCTCTGCTGGCTCAGTGCTGCTGGGCCTCCGGTCCTTCCTTAGAAGGTCAGGCTTTGGGTGGATTGGGGCTGGGGCTGCTGTAGGTGGCTGACCTCTGTTCCCACCTGAAGTTCTGCACTGTGGAGGGCTTCATCACAGCCCTGGTGGATGAGTACCCCAGGCTCCTCCGCAACCGCAGAGAGCTCTTCATTGCTGCCGTCTGCATCATCTCCTACCTGATCGGCCTCTCTAACATCACTCAGGTAAGCTCAGTAAGCACCTGGCACTCCCCCAGCACTGCCCAGGGCCACGCCCAGGGCCTCCTTTCCCCTCCTCTGTTGTATCCCATCTTTCCTGCCTTCATTGAGCATCATCTCTGTGCCAAGCTCTGAGCACATAGCAGTGAGTCAGATGGGGTCCCTGCTCTCCAGGGGCTCCCAGGCTGGTGGGAAACACAAACATTGAGCCAGGACATACAGGACAGAGCTAGAGAATGAAGCACCTAACTGGACTGGGGGCACCAGGGACTGCTTCCTGGAGAAGAGGATGTAGGAATTGAGCTTTGAAAGGCCCACAGAAGGCCGGGCATGGTGGCTCACGCCTGTAATCCCAACACTTTGGGAGGCCGAGGCGGGCGGATCACCTGAGGTCAGGAGTTTGAGACCAGCTTGGCCAATGTGGTGAAAACCCATCTCCACTAAAAATAAATAAATAAATAAATAATACAAAAATTAGTCGGGCTTTGGGGCAGGTGCTTGTAACCCCAGCTACTCAGGAGGCTGAGGTAGGAGAATCACTTGAATCCGGGAGGCAGAGGTTGCAGTGAGCTGAGATCACACCATTGCACTCCAGCCTGGGCAACAAGAGCGAAAAACTCTGTCTCAAAATAAAAGAAAGAAAGAAGAAAGAAAAGAAAGAGAGAAAAGAGAGAGAAAGCAAGCAAGCAAGCAAGAAAAAGAAAGAAAGAAAGAAAGAAAGAAAGAAAGAAAGAAAGAAAGAAAGAAAGAAAGAAAGAAAGAAAGAAAAAAGAAAAGAAAGAAAAAATGAAAGAAAGAAAGAAAAAGAAAGAAAGAAAGAAAGAAAAAGAGAAGGAAGAAAGAAAAGAAAGAGAGAAAGAAAGAAAAGAAAGAGAGAGAGAAAGAAAAGGAAGAAACAAGAAAGGCCCACAGAAATTAGCCAGAAAGTCAAATTGGAGATGGGCCTTTGAAGTTGACACTGCCCAAAGCTTTCTTTCGTTCCCATTTTTCTTTTGTATTGACATGAATGAGAAATGCTCGCATAGCTGGTGAATTGTACAATAAATATAAATGACTCTAGCAACATGAGTTCAGCGCTGCAGGTCTGATTTTTATAATCCACAAATCACCCCCCAGATCCAAATGTAGTTCTGCTCCAGAGTTAGTATTCATTCATCCCTTCATTCATAGTTGTCAAACACCTACTATGGGCCTGGCATGACCCTGGAAATTCGGCAATTAATGTGACAGATACTACCGTGTCTGCCGTCTTGGAGCTTACGTTTTGGTGGATAAGACTGACAGACAAATTAGATGATTTCGGAGAGTGTCAAGTGCCCTGGAGAAAAGAGGATAGCAGAATAGAGAATGACCAGTGGGACAGGAGGGGCGCTCCCTCAGACAAGGTAGTCAAGGGAGGTCTCTCTTTCCAAGAAAGCGACAGTTGGGCTGAGACTTAAATAATAAGAAAGAGCCAGCCAGACGAAGATCTGGGGAAAGAGAGCAGAGTAGGTGCAAAAGCCCTGAGGCATTTGAGGGATGGGGCGGGTGGCGGGGGAAGCCAGTGTGGCGGAGGCAGAGGGAGTGAGGCAATGGGTGGGAGACGAAGAACCAGTCCATGCGGACCTTGCAGGCCAAGACATTTGGATTGGATGGGATGGGATGGGATGGGATGAGATTGGATGGCATAGGATTGGATTAGATCTCTCTCTCTCTGCTTATTTATGTGTTATATTATTGTCTCCTTTAAGTCATGAAAGGTTTTAAGCAGGGGAGAGACATGACTGATTTACACTGTAAAAAGATGGCGCTGGTCCTCTTTCTGCCCTCCAACCTCTTTCTGCCCTCCAACCTTGCCAGAAATTGGCATTTTCCTCTACCACCTGGACATTTCCTTCCCAATCCCCAGACTGTCAATGTCCACAACCTCTCATGGTCACAAAGCCCTCAGTGCTTCATCTAATCTACCCTGAAGACTTCTTGCTGCAGTGCAGCCTAATCCCAGCCCCATCAGCCTCCAGAGTCCATGTCATCTGTGAACTGGATGCAATGGGCACCGGGGGCAATGCACCTGTTCTCACCTCTTTTCCTCTTGCAGGGGGGCATTTACGTCTTCAAACTCTTTGATTACTACTCTGCCAGTGGCATGAGCCTGCTGTTCCTCGTGTTCTTTGAATGTGTCTCTATTTCCTGGTTTTATGGTGAGTATCAGCCCCTCCTCGCTTATTCATTCACTCATTCATCTATTCATTCCTTTCTTCAGTCATCATTCAACAAGTGCAATTTGAACCCCAGGTCTTCTCCCTACATTTATGTATTTATTTATTCTTCATATTACAATTAAATTAGGTTAGTCCAGGAGTCCCCCATGTTTAGAAGATATAAGAGCAGTTAAATGAATTCATTTAAAATAGGTGCCAACATTTCTTCATAAATTTTGGAATAAAAAGGGTTTTTGGAGATTTTATCCAGAAAAGGGAAACCAAAACTATTTTTTAAAGTTTTAAAGTTATATATTTAACAAAAACTAGGCTGTAATTAAAAGTGTGCACTATCTTAAAACAAATAACAAAAGAAACATTGATTTTATTTATTTTGTGGCCTGTTTCTTGAGCCAACTGCATGACAGTAAAAAATGAAGACATCCTTTCCTGCACCTTTGATCGTCCCATCAGAGCAAATGTTTAAAGAAACATGATATTTTGTGTCCCCTTTGCAATATCTACCACCTCATCCCTCTTGTCATTGTCCCTTCTTTTTTATGTTTGTTCTATATGTATAAATTTAAGGGATATGGGTGCAATTTTGTTACCTGGATATCTTGTGTAGTAGTGAAGTCTGAGCTTTTAGTGTACCCATCACCACATAATGTACATTATTTTTATTTTTATTTATTTTATTTTATTTATTTTTTTGATAGAGTCTTGCTCTGTCACCAGAATGGAGTGCAGTGATGCAAACTCAGCTCACTGCAACCTCCGCCTGCCTGGTTCAAGCAATTCCTCTACCTCAGCCTCCCCAAGTATCTGGGACTACAGGCGCCCACCACCATGCCCAGCTAATTTTTTGAATTTTTGGTAGAGATGGGGTTTCACTTTGTTAGCCAGGATGGTCTCGATCTCCTGACCTCATGATCTGCCCACCTCGGCCTCCCGAAGTGCCGGGATTGCAGGCATGAGCCACCACACCCAGCTGTACATTCTACCCACTAAGTAATTTCTCATCATCTACCCTAGCTCCCATTCTCCCACCCTTCTGAGTCTCCAGTGTCTATTATTCCACCTGTACCCAGTGTTTAGCTCCCACCTTTAAGTGAGAACGTGCAGTATTTGACATTCTGTTTCTGAGTTGTTTTGCTTAAGATGTTGGCCTCCAGTTCCACCCACGTTGCTGCAAAAGGCATGACTTCATTCTATTTTATGGCTGAATAGTATTCCATTGTGTATGTATACCATACTTCCTTTATCCAGCCATCCACTGATGGACACTTAGGTCGATTCCATGTCTTTGCTATTATGAATAAACACGAGTACAGTTATCTTTTTGATATAATAATTTCTTTTCCTTTGGGTAGATAGACAGTAGTGGGATTGTTAGATCAAATGGTCGTTCTATTTCTGGTTCTTTGAGAAATCTCTGTACAGGTTTACATAGAGGTTGCACTAATTTACACTCCCAAGAACACCTTCTCTGTCTAACTGTTCTAATATGGTCAGATCCTCACTGGTCAGTGACTCTGCTTGTAATTTGAGCAGTGCCCAAAGCCACTCTGGTGAACTTCAAGACACCCGTTTGGGGTTTGGGGTTTTTCTTTTTCATGAGATTTGCAGTTCTTCTTTGCAATTGATTGCCAATTTCTTTTTCTTTTATTTATTTTATTTTATTTTATTTTATTTTATTTTATTTTATTTTTGAGATGAAGTCTCGCTCTTGTCTCCCAGGCTGGAGTGTAATGGCACAATCTTGGCTCACTGCAACCTCTGCCTCCCAGGTTCAAGCGATTCTCCTGCCTCAGCCTCCTGAGTAGCTGGGATTACAGGCGCCTGCCACCACACCTGGCTAATTTTTGTATTTTTTAGTAGAGACGGAGTTTCACCATGTTGGCCAGGCTGGTCTCAAACTCCTGACTTCAGGTGATCCTCCCGCCTCGGCCTCCCAAAGTGCTGGGATTACAGGTGTGAACCACCGCGTCCAGCAGACTGCCAGTTTCTTATAGCATCTGACCATCAGGGAAAAACAGCCCCTGCCCAGGAAAGCCTTTGAAGGAATGGCTGGGATAGATGTTGAGTGGGAGGGACATTGAGAGTGGCAAGGGTTGGGGGGGATCATCTTGTCAGTCTCCTTTTGTTGGTAGATATCTTCACGTTAAAGTGACTTGCTCTCACTTGCTGTGAGAATTGGGCTATTGAAAAATACCTGGTAACGAGGACCCCCAGAGCATTACCCCCATGGTACAGACAAGGAAACTGAGACTCAGAGAGATTAGGTGACTTGCCCATGGTCACACTGTGAGAAGGTGGTAGAACCAGGCTTTGACTCTGAAGCACCCACAGCTCATCCATCCCTTCTGCTCCCAATGTCACAGGTGTCAACCGATTCTATGACAATATCCAAGAGATGGTTGGATCCAGGCCCTGCATCTGGTGGAAACTCTGCTGGTCTTTCTTCACACCAATCATTGTGGCGGTAAGAACAAGGCCTGAGTAGCCCTATTAGGATGAGGCTAGACCAAGCCCTGGGAGGACTCAGGTCCAGGGAGAAACCTCTAGAGGCAGAGGCAGGTGGAAGAGGCCCCCAGAAACCCTGTTCCTTAATAATACTTCTCTCTACCATTTGTTGGGCATCTATTCTGCACCCTGTACGGTACAAGACACATTATATCATCCTCCACAAACCTCAGAAAAGAGGTATTATTGTCCCACTTTACCACTACAGGATCTGGGGCTCACCTAACCAGTATCACCCAGCTAGTCAGCGCTGGGATTCGAACCAAGGCCAAGCTCTTGGCACTTGGAGACTCTCCTTCTCAGGGTCCCTCATCCCCACAAGCAGGAGCTGAAGCAGGGGCAGGCCTGGAAGGGGCCACCCGAGGTTCTTGAGGTGGGGGCAGAGCCACTGCATATGTTGTGTACCACGTAAGGGGACCCCGCCAACCGCACACTGGGAGCTGATACCTCACCCTTGCTCTGCTTTTGAAGCCGGGTAACTTGGAGGAAGGGATTCCCTTTTCTAATTAGTCTCCCTAGAGGGGTTGCCTTTTCCTGCTGATCTTCCCTGAGAGGGTGTCTTTTTCTATTATGCACAAAGGCACCTTAAGTGCTAGCAGTGGCGCTGAGTGCAGGACTCCTAAGACCTTGGGCCTCTGTAAGGGTCAGCCTCGCGGTAAGGGTGGAGGGCAGTCAGCCTGCTGGCTTCAGGGTGGTCCATCCTGGGTGATTGACTACTCCCTTCCCCTCCCCTCCCCTCCCCCCTTTCCAGGGCGTGTTCATTTTCAGTGCTGTGCAGATGACGCCTCTCACCATGGGAAACTATGTTTTCCCCAAGTGGGGCCAGGGCGTGGGCTGGCTGATGGCTCTGTCTTCCATGGTCCTCATCCCCGGGTACATGGCCTACATGTTCCTCACCTTAAAGGGCTCCCTGAAGCAGGTAAGCCCTTCCCCACCCTTCAAATTGCCAGAGCCCCTCTCCCACTGTGCCAGGTACAGCCCCACCCCTTGTGGAGCTCACAGTCCAGCTGGGGAGGCAGACAAGTCAATAGCCAATGACAGTAGAGTATTAGAGACACTGAGATTAGGAAAAGCCAAGGGGGTCGGAGCAAACAGCCCTCCCTTAGCCCTACCTGGGTTAAGGAGGATTAAAGAAGGCTTCCCAGAAGAGGGGATAACAAAGGAGAGGCCTGGGGATAAACCAAACTTAAAAGTAGAAGCAGAAAGAATGTTCCTAGAAGAGGGAGGGGAGGAGAGGTTGGAAAGCATGTGCTAAGGTCCAGGGGTATAAACTGCATTGGGTGAAATGAAGGGAGATCAGTGTGGCTGGAGGGTAAAGTGGAAAGGGGTGTGAGGAGAGGGCGTGACAAGAGATGAGGCTGGGATGTAAGCAGGTCCAGCCAGATCATGTAGGGCTTTGAAAACCAGGACAGGAACTTTGGACTTTATCCTGGCGGCAATGGGGTGTCATGAAGGGCTTGGAACAGATGGAGGGTGGGATCACATTTGCTCAGGGCTCACTCTAGATCTCATTTGTAGGATTGATATAGAGAACATGTGGTCTTACCCGCAAGGAAAGACAAAGCACAAAAGACCTGCTGCCCGCAGCAGGGGCCTCACCATCACGTAGGGTTCTCTGTCCATGCCCGCACTTTGTTAAATTGCACTGAATTCTTGAGGGAAGCAAAGAAGTGCTGGAGGTGCCACACAAAGAGACATTGATGAGGTGTGTGCAGGCTGAAAAGATGCCACTGGGAGAAGTGGAGAGTCAGAGCGTGAGGGCCGCTCCAGAAGGCCCTGGATGAGTGGCTGTCCACTGTAGTTCCCTGGGAAATGCACCTGCCAGACCCAGGGGAAGCCCTCTCAGGTCCGAGGCACAGGGAAGCTGGGCTGCAGGTTATGTGCCGCCGTGGAGTTACTGGGTCATCCTCCTCCAACCTCAGATGAAGAAACTGAGGAACCACAGGGGTTGAGTAAGCAGGTTCCCAGTTCGGGAAGCTGTGAGCAGAGCCAGGGCTTTCAGCCCTTTCTTCCCAATGCAGTTCCAAAGCTTTCCTTTTCCATGATCCACTGAAGAGCCTCAAATAGCAGCTGGGTCTTAGCGTGGCAAGAGGTTAAGGGGATGCCCTTGCAGAAAAGAGCAAAGCTTGTGCAAAGGCCCAGTGGTAGGAAGGGCCAAGACATACCTGAGGCCAGGGTGTGAGCTGACAGGGCAGGATGGCGAAGGCAGTGGGGGATCCGTCCACTCAGCATACATGGATGGAACCCTGATGATGTGCCAGACACTACTGTTAGTGCGGGGGACACAGCCATGAACAAGATAAGCAGTAATTGCACCCACCTGGAGCTCCCATTCTGGTAGAGGAAGATAAGCAACTGACAAAATAAAAGCATGTGAGGTGGGGAGGAGCACTACAGAGAAAAATCAAGTAGGTAGGGGGTTTAGGGAGTGCCGGGTGAGGCCTCACTGAGAAGGTGAAACATTTGAGCCAAGACCTAGGGAGGCGGAGAGCGAGCTGCCGCTGTCTGAGAGGAAGGCTGTGCCAGAGAGAGGGCAGGGCCTGTGCAAACGCCCTGGGGCGGGAGCATGCCTGCTGTGTTTGCGGGGCGTCGGGGAGTCCCATGCAGATGGGGTGTGGATGCCTGAGGAAGAGGAAAGGACCCTGAGGACTGGGAGGTGGCAGGAGCCAGGTCATGTAGGGCCTTGGAGGACTTTGGCGTTGCCTCTTGGGGAAATGGGAGCCTTCAGTGGGTCCTGAGGAGTACAGGGGCGTGATCTGAGTCCGGTTTTCACAGAACTCTCCCGCTGCTGAGAGGACGGAATGAAGGCAAGAGTGGAAGCTGAGGGCTGACTGGGAGTTTTTGCAGTAACCCAAGTGAGAGGGGCTGTGGCAGGGGTGCAGGATGTGGGGATGTGGCTGGAGTTTGGGTGTAGTTTGGAGGCAGAGCAGACAGGATGCACTTGAAGAGAGGGCAGGAGAGGGAAGCGGCGGGTTCCCTGTCATCCCAGCCTGGGATTTTCCCCAGAGAGCCTCATGCCTTCCTCCCCGGTACCCACAGCGCATCCAAGTCATGGTCCAACCCAGCGAAGACATCGTTCGCCCAGAGAATGGTCCCGAGCAGCCCCAGGCCGGCAGCTCCACCAGCAAGGAGGCCTACATCTAGGGTGGGGGCCGCTCGCCGACCCGACACTCTCACCCCCCGACCTGGCTGAGTGCGACCCCCACTTGATGTCTGAGGATACCTTCCATCTCAACCTACCTCGAGTGGCGAGTCCAGACACCATCACCACGCAGAAAGGGGAGGTGGGAGGACAGTTAGACCCCTAGGTGGGCCCTGCCGTGGGCAAGGATACCCGGTGGCTTCCGGCACCCGGCGGGCTGGTGACCTTTTTAATCCAGGCTCCATCAGCGTCCCACGATCGGCCTTGGTAACCGCCGCGGTAGATCATTTTTATCCCGCCAGGGAGCGTGATGCAGCGAGGCCACATGTGCTCCTGGCTTTTAAACCTGTTCCTGACTGTTCTCTTACTGCCGAAACCCATGACTGTTATCTCGGACTTTGCAGGAGTTACTTTCCCTCTGAACGCTGCTCCATGCACAGGAAAAGGGCATTTTGTACAATGGGGACTTCCCGGGAACGCTTGCTCTTAAGTACCAGAAGTCAGTGGAGCTCTGGCTTTCGTGTTTTGGTTTTCTCCTTCCCAAGGCAGCTGGACAAAAAAAAAAAAAAAAAAACCCAGGGGCGTCCGTCGATATTCCCAGGGCCGCTTCTCCTGCAGTCTGTGGAGTGTCCTTGTCCCCGCGGCCCGAATGAATGAGCGTTCTGCAGCCCGATGTCCCTGTCCCCTCCCCGCCGGGCCATTCTGATTGGACCTGGCCCAGTGCAATCCATCCAGACAAGCCCTGCTTGCTGGAAAACTGCCACAAGCACAATTGATCTCTTTTTATCGCCATTCCAGGGGCCTCAGGTCCTACTGGGGAAACTTCCTATACTGGAGCTCCGGTTTCTCTTAAGCTGCCCAATTTCACAGAGTACAAAACAGTTGTAGGGGAAATCAAGGTGAAGGATCTGTCCGACAGTCAAGACGGATCCACAGTTATCTTTCGGTCTCCTTCTTAAACTACCACCCTCACTGCCACCCACCCCAAGCTGCTGCCACCTCACCTTCCTTGAAATTCCTCAGCGGGAGTCTCCTCACTGCCACTAAAACCCACCCAGCCCACTAACTGAGGAGCTAGTGTTAATCCAGAGGATCCCCCGCAATGTGCTTCCGAGATTCAAAATGCTTCATTGGAAAGTATGATTTGTTCCTTTCTGGAACTGGGCTCCGTGGTGGCGGCGGCACTTCAAGCGAAGACAGTTTCTTGCAAGCTCCAGTAGCTCCGCGTGTCTCATTTGCCAGGAAGATGGGTTCCCACGTAGCAAATCATACATCGTGCCCCGTAGCTCCTTAGCTAGTTAGCTCACAAGCCGTGTTTTATGACTAATCCTTAATAACTATGGTAAATAACTGTGACTGTGGGGTTTTTAATCTCTTGTCATTCTCATCTGAAAGTGACCAGCATACCAGTTCTTGCAATAAGATATTACCCTCAGAATATTAAGCACATTATTGTAGAGAAAAAAAAATATGTGTACACATATGAACGCACAACATACACATTCATCCTCACATGTGGCACGTAGGTCTCATTTGATATTGTGTAGGAAATCTGAAACCTTTTCCTGAGGTCATCTGTAAATTAGTCTCATTGCCAAGGCATCCCCAGTGCCAGCTGGTGAATCCATGATCAGAATGCATACGTATTATTAAATGATAGGGTTTAGAATGACAGGAACCCATCACTGTGTCTCATGGTTCTACTTCTCCATCTGTGTGTGAATTCCTTTAGACTAAGGGCAGGAAGACTTCCAACTTTCTCTTTGTTCTTCAGTGTGAAACTGAGACCAAGTCTCTCTGAGACAAATGCAGTGTATTTAATGTTTGTAAGCAATTCTAAGTGAGATGTTTGGCAAGAAATCCCCTAACTGATTTCCATCCAAACCTATCTTATAGAGCACAATATTAAGTGTCGTACAATTACTGTGAGAACTGTGAATATGTGTAACTTTTTTTAGTATTTGCCCGGGGCGGGGGAAATATTGTATTATCATATATGCTTTTTTTGCAATAAGGATTTATTCTCAGAACACCAAGTAAATCTATCTCTATATAAAAAATATATGTAATATATACATATTCAAAGTATATACAGAGCCTGTTTTAAAAAATACAGTATTATTTAGTAAAATTATCTGTTCTATGGACCAAATGTAAAATATTTATAAATGAAGATGCATTTTAAATGTCTATAAATGGTGTCATAACTAGAGCACGGGCGTTATGTAAGTTTCTAAGAATTTAGAGGATAAATAATAAAGGTTCTATGATATACAACATCAGACCTTCAATTCTTTGGGGTGGGGGCACAATATCCTCTTTCATCAGAACAACAACACATATACACAGAACTGTTTTTCCCTAGCAGAGAGAGACTGGGGCTCAAAACCCAACAAAACAGAACTGGACTTCCCCAGAGTCTTAGAGTCATAGAAAATGATTGTGTGCTCCACGAGGGAGGTGCTTTCGCTGTGCATGGGGTCAACTAAATAAAGATCTAAAACTGCAGGAGAACAGGAGCACATGTAGTGAACAATGGCACCCATTCATTCACTCACTGATTCCTTCCTCAACATGGTTATCTTTCTAAAGTGTATTTAGAAAAATGTGAATTCTACAGATGAGTTGTAAGAATAGTTCCGCGGACACATCTGCGCTTCACCCAGATTTGCCAGTTGTTAACACGTCGCCACATTTATCTTCACTAACTCTCTGTCAGTCAAGGCTCAGCCTGGGAAGTGGAGCCACTGGATATGATGGAATCAGGGCTTTATTACAGGAACGGACCTTAGACCACTCACTGTAGGGCAGTTGGAAAATAAGAGTCTGAGGTTTCTCTACCTGATCTGTTCTTCCCTGGCTGTCCTCACCACTGGTTCCTTCCTTTCCTTCAGGTCTCTGCTCAATTGTCACCTCCTCACAGAGGCCTTCCCTGACCACCCTAGCCAAAATAACATGCTCCTTCATCTCTCTCTGCTCCCTCACCCTGCTTTATTTTTATTATTCTCAGCATTCGCATGCTTACTAATTTAATCTCTATCTCTCCCCACTATAAAGGAAGCTCTTGGGGCGGGCACAGTGGCTCACGCCTGTAATCCCAGCACACTTTGGGAGGCCGAGGTGGGTAGATCACTTGAGGTCAGGAGTTCGAGACCAGCTTGGCTGACAGGGCAAAACTCCATCTCTACTAAATATACAAAAATTAGCTGGGCATGGTGGTGGGTGCCTATAATCCTAGCTACTCGGGGGCTGAAGCAGGAGAATCGAGTAAACCCAAGAGGCAGAGGTTGCAGTGAGCCGAGATCGTGCCACTGCATTCCAGCCTGGGTGACAGAGAAGACTCTGTCTCAAAAAAATAAATAAATAAAATAAAAATAAAGGAAGCTCTGGGAAGATGGGGACTTTTGTTAATTAACTACTGTGTCCTAGAGGCCCAGAACAGTGCCTGACACACAGTAGAAGCTCAGCAAATACATGAATGAATGAATGAATGAATGAATGAATGAATGAATGGCTGGATGGCAGAATGGATGGATGGGCAAGGAATGGAGATGGAACAGCCATCGCGGGCACTGGCTTTGGGGTCAGACAGCTCTCCATGTGAGTTCCGGCTCTGCCATTCACTCTCTCAGCAACTCTGAACACGTTGCTTAAATCTCTTTGTGCCCCAGTTTCCTCACAAAATTGTTGTTAAAGTGAAATGAGTTAAAACAAGGAAAGAACATAGCATGGTGCCTAGCCCAAACTGAGCACTTAAAAAAAAATAGTGATGTTGTTACAGCAATGGTTCCTAAAATGTTCCCTTAGAAGAACCTCTTCAATCGGGGTCTGTCCCCCACCCAGAGCCCCATGTTTTGAAGGATTTTGTCTACCAAACTGTCGCTTAATCATTAAGCTGTTTCCCCCCTTTTTATTAATCAGATGTGGCTGCTAATTAGAGCTCCTGATTAGCATGAGGTAACCAGGGTGACAGCACTAAGCTGATATCATTCCAGGCAAAAGCAAAGAAATGTGGCATTTGGGGTCCTCAGCTTACCCGGATGGTTTGTAATTATGTGATTTCCTCTGGGCTCTATAATATGGAAAAAAAAAAAAAAAAAAAAAGGTCCTGGATGTCCCATTGACTTTTCCAGGGACTCCCACAGGTTCAGGACCTCAGGTAGGGTCTATGTCTTACAAAATGTTTGGCTGCAGACTTTGTATTTCTCTTTCTTTAAAACAAAAGGTTGCCTTGAGGAGTAAACATTTTCCGGGTTAGGTGACCACGACCTTTGATCCAACTAATACAGATCATGAAAATGGCTCACAGTTTTGAAGCTCAAGTTTTGCACACATCTCTATTTCTTTCTAATAAACTCCCAGCAGTGAAATCGCTGAGTTAAGCAGTCTGTGCATTTTTAAGGTTGTTCATACCTGGTGCCAAACTGTCCTCAGGGAAAGTGGTGACCATATTTTATTCCCCTCAGAAGTATATGGTAGTGATAATTTCCCCAGACCTTTTCCAAAATTAGGTCTTTTTTTTTTTTAAATCTTTTTCAATTTCACAGCTGAAGATATCTTAATAGTTAAGCCTATATTTCTTTGAATTTTACTGATGCTGGACTTTTTTTCATGTCCTTTCTGGCCTTTTGTATTTATTTTGTGAATTTATAGCTCATAAGCATCTTGTTGTTCTTTAGAGACGGGCTCTCACTCTGTCGCCCAGGTCGGAGTGCAGTGGCACAATCACAGCTCACTGCAGCCTCGAACTCCTGGGCTCAAGCCGTCCTCCTGCCTTGGCCTCCCCAGTAGCTGGGACCACAGGCATGAGACACCACGTCCAGCTAATTTTTTAATTTTTCTTTTGTAGAGACAGAGTCTCACTGTGTTGACCAGGCTGATTTCAAACTCCTGGCCTCAAGCCATCCTCCCTCCTTCGCCTCACAAAGTGCTGGGATTATAGGCATGGGCAACTGTGCCCAGCCAGCATCCTGTTTTTGTATGTGTCTTATTTGTTTGGAAGACTTATTTTTAATATATTGAGAATATTAACACTATCTTATGTACGTTGAAAATAAATCACAGGATGTATATGGATAGATATATGTGTATGTATATGTACATGTATATGCATATGTACATGTGTATGTATATCTATATGTATAGATATATGCATATGCACATGTATGTGTGTAGATTGATATAGATAGATAGATAGATAGATAGATAGATAGATAGATAGATAGATATCTCTTCTCCCAAGGAAGTCTTTGTGTTTTCTAGTCCTGGCTTCTCTACTTCCAAACCTTTTAGAGTTTGAGCCAAAGACTGGGAAAATGTTTTTGGCCATCCCCTTTTCCAACCCTGTGTTGGTGTAGCCCCTCTTTTGGGTGGAAATGTGAGAGTAATTGCATCTTCCACTGAGGGCTGAGGATTCATGACTTAGTAAGTGTCAGGTGTTTATAACAGGGCCTGGTACATAGGAAACAGTCAGATCGGGCCATTCTGATGACTTTCTGTGACCACACAATAGCATCAGCTGCTTACTCTTCTCTCTGTCCTCACAAACCATCCCTTTTATGATCCTCGTGGAAC